CAACAAAAGGAAAAATAAACAAGCAGGATGACAGCAAGCTACACAGTCAATGAAACAATCAATACAATGAGAAGACAGCCTACAGAACAGGAGAAAATATTTGTAATCCATATTTCTGATAAAGGGGTTACTATCTAACATACACAAGGAACTGAAACAACTCAACAGCAAAAATAAAAATAACCCAATTAAAAAATGGACAAAGAATCTAATAGTCTTTTCTCCAAAGAAAACATATAGATGACCAATACATATTTGGAAAAGTGCCCAGCATCACTAATTATCAGATAAAAGCATATCAAAATTACAATGAAATATGATCACATCTGTTAGGATGATTATCATTGAAAAGAAAAAAATTAGAAAGTATTGGTGAGGAAGTTGAGGAAAAATTGTAGTACACTGCTGGTGAGAATGTGAATTGGTAGTGCTATTATGAAAAACAATATGGAGGTTTTTCACCAAATTAAAAATAGAACTATTACATGATTCAGCTGTATGTCATAAGGATGCATATTCAAAGGAAATGAAATCAGTATCTCAAAGAGATATTGGCATTCCCAAGTTTATTGCAGCAGTATTCACAATAGCCAAGGTATGAAATCAACCTAAGCATCCATCATATAAGATAAAGAAATGTTGAGATTATACATATGTGTGTGTATGTGTATGTATGTGTGTGTGTGTGTGTGTGTGTGTGTGTGTGTGTGTGTGTATGTGTGTGTGTGTAAATTACAGCCTTAAAAATAAGAAAATCCTGCCATTAGAGACAACATAGATGGACGTGGAGGAGATCTATACTAAGTGAAAAAAGTTGTAAAAAGATATTAAAATGCTACACAATCTCACTTAAAATGTGTAATCTTTAAAAAGTTAAACTTATAGAAGCATAGAGTAGAATGGTGGTTACTGGGGTTTCAGTTTTGAAGAATGCATAAGTTCCCAGGGTTTAATGTACACCATGGGAACTATCATTAATAATACTGCATCGTATACTTGAAATTTGCGAAAAGAGTAGATCTTACATGTTCTCACCAAACACATGCACAAAAAGACTGAAAAGGTAACTGTGAAGAGATAGAAAATTAATTGAACAGGAGTAACCAATTCACTATATGTACATATATCAAAACTCACTGTATATCTCAAATATATGCAATTCAATAAAAAATATTTTTAAAATTAACAGGCATTCAAATAAGTCAGAAAATATGACTATAATAAAGGTATAAGCCAATCAATTAAAACCAATACAAATTATAACTTAAACAAACAATAGAATAAAAAGTAAAGATATTAAAACAGTTATTAAAACTGTGTTTCATTAGTTCAAAATGGTAAGAAAAATATAGAATATATTAAAAAGACCCCAAATCATCTTTAGGAGATTAAAAATTGCAATGCATAACATTAAAATTTTACTGTACAGTTTTCATGGAAGATTAGAAATTATAAAATGAAAGAACAGTGAACATGAAAACACATGACTAGAAACTATGCAAAACAAAACACAGAAAGGAAAAAAATAAACAAGAAGAAAAGAGAAAGAAAAAAAATTTTGAAAAAATAATGGTCAATTTTCCCCCCAAAATTTGTTAAAAGCTATAAATACACAAATCCAAGAATCTTAACAAACTCCAAGCATAAGCAGGAAGAAGAGGGTTATACATAGAGATTTTGCACATTTTTAATAATGATAAGGGTATATGATACACAGTTTTAGGACAATACATTTGCCAATGAAGATGAAATGGGAATATTACTTGAAAGACACAAACTGCCAGAGGTCATTCAGGAAAACATAGAGGTCATCGCCATTATGATTAAAGTTGTTGAATTTGTAGTTTTGACCCTTTCCCACTATAAAATTCCAAACCCAAATGGTTTCACAGGTAAATTGCATTCCACCAAATTCTTAAGGAATCACTGAAAATTGAAATTATGTTGCCAAAAGCATGATCCATAAAAGAACAAACTTGTAAACTGAAATTCATCAAAAGTAGAATGGCTTACTTCCTTAAAGACACTGTTAAGAGAATAAAAAAAGACAAATCACAGGGTGGGAGAAAATATTTACAAAGTATATATCAGATAAAGGACTATATCCAGAATACATCAAGAACTTCCAAAACTCAATAATGAGAAAACAACCCAACTGGAAAGCGATTTATGAGGGTGAAGGATTTGAGCAGACATTCCATTAGAGCAGGTATTCAGATGTTCAACGACACCTAAGGAGATTCAGCATCTGGAGTCATTAGGAAAACGCAAATTGAAACCACAACACGATACCTCTACAATATTTTAATGATGGCTTAAAAATTAATAATTTTTTTTAAAAAGAGTCCAAACCAAGTGTTGTCAAGAATGTGGAGGAACTACACATTCCTCCACTGAGGCTCTTATAGTTGTACACTGCTGGTGGTAGTGTGTAATTTAATACCACCTTAAACACAGTTTGACCGTTTCTTAAAGAGATAAATGCACATCCACCATACAATTCACCATTCTACTTGAAGGTTTTTACCCAAAAGCAGTGAAAGTACAGAGCATAAGATTTGTACACAAATGTTCATGGCAGTATTATTTGTCACAGGCAAAATTTGTAAACAAGCCATGTATATAAAAAGTGACTGAATAAACAAGCTGTGGTATATCCATACAACAAAATGCCACTCAGGGTAGAGAGTTATTGATATGCACCCAACCTGAATAAATCTCAAAGTGATTATTCTGGGTGAAAGAAGTTAAAGAAATACCTTTCATATAATTTCTTTATGTGATATTCTAGGAAACACAATTTCTTTATGTGATATTCTAGGAAACACAAATGTAGAGTGTCAGAAACAGATGGATTGTGTGGGGGACAGGTAAGAATGGGAAGAAGCAGGAATGTGGATTCAAAGGAACAGAAGGAAACTTTGAGGGATAATGAACATGGTCACTATCCTTATTGTGGTAATGATTTCATGAATGTGTCAACATGTTAAAATGTATCAATTTGAACAGCTTAAATTGGTGCAGTTTATCTATGTCAATTATACTTCAGTAAAGCTATTACATCGAGTTGACAGGCAAGTTATGGACTATGGCCACAAGTCAAGAAGAGGAAATAAAACTGTATCTAGAAAGAATCTTGTTGCCTGAGGCATGTTTCATAAAATTACGTCTGTGCTCTGTACATGATTACTAACTGAATGGGAAATTTTCATTAAGGCAATGTTTGAAATTGTAATTTCCTTAAATGTCCTCTCTCAAACAGTCTCTGAACATGCCTTCGAACTCTCTAAGATAAGCACAGTGAATACAGAGTTCGGTGTCTTCTTGCCTCTTTCTCTGACTCCCCAGGTCTACTCTAAAATCTAAGGTGGTCGTCAAAGTGGAAGCATAGATCTGCCACCTCCTTAGAATAAGTCACATATTTTAATCTACATAGTCCACGGTGAGTCTCTGCTTGAAAACCAGATATAAATGGGAAAATTCCTGATCCACATTAGCAAGTGTAATTTAGCAACGCTGCAATCTGTCTAAAAAACTGTTAACTGCACAGGGCAGTCTCTGCCAGCTCCTTTCTTCTTCTTTTTCTTTTATTTAATACAATGACATTTTGAAGAACTGCCCTTTGAAGTTCCCTCCAACTGTAACTTACTGTATATTCATCGTTTCTCTGCTTGATTTAAATTATATTTCTTGGTTAGTTAAATAATACACACTGAAATATAACATACAATTAACTAACTATGCAGTCAAATAGCCAAGAACTTAATAATGCGGGAAAAAATAGTATGTCAGTCATCTAAAGTGTGAAGATATTTCCTTGGTTGAGCACTGTCATGAGTCAGCCAAAAACTTTTGCGTTACACAAAGAAACATAGGCAGGTGGCCTTTAGCCTAACACACAGACAGCCTTCCAGCTTCCTTTTATACCCACAGTGAGCACCAAAGTTGATAAAAACCCAGAGATATATGCCCGGGAATCTCAGGAATGCAAAAGAAGAAATAAACACTCACTTTGGGTTATAATGGTTTATACGTAGAAAGAAAAGATAACGGTTTCATAAAACTTGGTAACAAAATTTGCTACGTACTTATATCACCTATTAATGGGTAAATGTTTAGTTACCAGCTTATGGGGAAGGAGAAAAGCCCTGGTATGCAGCATTGGCCAATTCCTGTGGTGTAAATACTCCCACCACGACTGATTTTAAGCTGATTTAACCGAATATGAAGCAGGGACTACGAATGCACAGTCGGCTCTCCTGAGCTGGACGATGAGCACCACACCAGAAGCAGCTCATCTGTGACCATAACTAACTCCAATCCTATGACAGAAATAAGCAATGTTCCTAGGATATGCCTGTGTATCTTGTTCAACTCAAAGTCTTCAACTCTGGAGCTACCTTTTAACCCAGGACAATACATTTCCATCTGAAAATAATGATATGTAGGATGTAGGAATTGTTACTCAGCATCAAATATTTGAAATATCCTAAGCTTGAGGTATTCAAAAATTTGTCTTGTTCTTTAACAGGAATCTTTATCTAAACTTAATTCAAATTAAGTGCTTATGATGAACCCCCCAAAAAGGGAAAGGGAAAGGAAACATGCAAGACACAACATTTCATACTGATCTTAGGTGACTTGTTAGTAAAAAGGAATGGTTAAGATAAGATCAAACATGTCTCCCGTTGCAGAACTCATGTGCTCCGTTCGCCGTTAAGGACAGGTGTGGGGTTGTGTTTGTTTGTTTGTTTTTGGAGGGGTGGTGTTATTTTGCAATAATAGGAATTAATGAGGGGAGACTGAAAGCCATCTTTTCATGGTGTTTTCCACAAAGAGAGACTTTCTTCAAAGCTATATAAGGAAAACTAACAGGAGGAAATAACTTAAACTAGAAGTTCAACAAGAGGGGAGGAAACAAGGGTAACGATGACAGCCACAGCATTTCAACACAATGTAGCAAAGAAACAGCAAGGAGGAACAGAAGAGCAGACATATACCCAAGTTCTGAGTCTGACTGCAGCTGGAGCACTGAGGGGTCTGTGTCCCACTGCAGGGTCCTAATCGTGCAGCACAAAGGAAAAAGAACACAGAGAATTAACAAAAGGGAGGGCAACAAACCAAACCAAACCATGTCATTCATCAAGGCCAGAGCACGTGCAGTGCGTTCACAGAACCGCCCACCCCACCACCCCAGGGACCATAGGACATCGGGAGGAAGCCAGGCGCCACCCTTTGCTTTGGACCTCTGCTTGATATTGGAAGCCGTGACTGTTTTCATGGAAGAAAGACCAGAGCCAAATATTCAACATCCACAGACACCCTGTCCTTTCTGTGGTTCTGTTCCGAAGCCTCCTTGACTTGAGTATGTGAACCACTGCATGTATCTCTGACATCGCGTCCATATCTGGGAGCTCTGAGCATCTTCCACATGTGAAGAGAAATAAATGAGGACTGGAAGGGATCAGGGCAGAAGCATCTGGGGAAGTCGGGACAGGCAGGGTGGGACTGCAGGGCCTGGTGTGTAACGGGCTTCCTGGGTTCGGGTGTGGCCAACTCAGCTTCTTACCTGAATGCTCTGGAGGATGGCACTTGGAGTCCAGATTGAGTAGGGCCAAGGGTGGCCTGAGACTGCATTTCACACAAGCTCCAGAGGACACAAATGCTGCTAGTCTATGGACCACACTTTGAGAACTTGACTTCAATAAGGGGTTCTTAAATGTTAATGTTCATCAGAATGACCTGAAGGACTTCTCCAACTACAGAATACTGATCCCCAGCCCAGAAATTCAGATTCCATAGATCTGGAGTGGACTGGGAATCTGTATTTCTAACACGTGTTCAGATAATGTTGGCAAGGCCAATCATGGGACCACCCCTGGAGAAGGACTGAGCTACCCTGTGGCTTCCACGGTCAGCGGACTGAGAGCATCATTGATGCCCATATACATCGGCATCTAGATTTCTGAGCAGGCCTAGGCCACCTCAGATGCATGAAACCAGAACATCTGGTTGGGATCCAGGCATCCATAGTTCTGAAAGCTTTTCAGATGTTTCTAGTCGGCAGCCAGTGGGGAAGATTCCTACACTGAACTCATTCCCTGCTCAAGAACAACAGCCTTCCTGGTTCTAGACACTGATTCCTCCACCTTGTTTCAGATGGTGGGAGGAATGGACTCCATTAAAGAAATTCATATTTGATGCTCACATGCCTCTGGGGATCGAATTTAAGAGCATTTCTTCTGCTGAAGACAGAAGAGCAGCCTCCCGCTCTTACCGACTGTCAAAAGCGTTTCCTTGCAAGGGACGGCATCAGTTACTTTGCCCTCAATTTGCCTTGAGGTTTCTGATGGGGCAACCTTGATTCTGCACTTCTCCCAGGCAGGTGAGGGACACAGCAGCTCCTGGGTGGCCCAGCTTTTCCAACACCCACTAAACAGATCACTGAACTCACTGTAAACTTAAGAGGAGGGAAGAGAACCACCCACTTCAGAATCTGCAGGTGAGCACTCAGAGCTGCATTTATTCACCCAGAACACTCAGTGCTTTGGGAGGCCAAGGCAAAAGGATTGCCTGAACCCACGGGCTCGAGACCACCCTGGGCAACATGGTAAGACCTTATTTCTACATTAAATCAAAAAATTAGCCAGGCATGGTATTGTGGTTCCAGCTACTTGGAAGGCTAAGGCAGAAGCATGGCCTGAGCCCTGCAGGTTGAGGCTGTGGTGACCGTGAGCATGCCCCTGCATTTCAGCCTGAGCAAAAGAGTGAGATTCATACACACGCACAAAAAAAGGTGGGGCTGTGCAGTAACTTGCCCCACAGCAGCTCTGCTCCATCATGCACATGACATACAGTGAAAGAAGTTCTAGTTATTGTCAGTAACAAGCCTGAGGGGGAGAAGGAACGTAAAGCACACCATTGACTGTATCAGCTTTACTTCTTTTCATTTTTTCTATTATTATCTGCAGAATAGTCAGATTTGCTCAGAATGCGTTCTGGTTTTTTGTGTGGGAAGGATCTTAAAACCAATGGGTTAAATGGGCAGAGTCTGTCTGTGTGTCCAGGGACAGCCCAGAATGCCATTTGCTGAACTCCTTCTGCACAAATTTGTAGGAAGGCTTCCCACGAGGCCAGCACCTTAGGGAGAGGGAGGGCCACATTGGGTCTCGGGGTGGGAGGGCGGTGTCCTGGGGGTGGCTTCTCTGTGTCATCAGGCAAATTTCCTTCTGTCCCCAGTCAAATGAGGGCACAGTCCTCAGGACCCTTTAAGGTTCTTTCCCTCCTGATATTTTAAAGTAAATTGACCTTTCGCTTTCACTTCTCCAGTTGGAACAATCTATTACCCATTGACAGAGATCTCACTTTCCAAGCATTTTATCAAGTAATTGCATCACTGGAAATAAAATGATGGCTTCGTCACAGTTCCCTGGGCAGTTTGAAATCTTGAAATCACGTAGTTTATTTAAAAAATTAAAGAAGTCATGAAATCCTTTTCATATAGAAATTACCCTGTTTACTATAATAATTAGTCCAATTTTTTAGCCATTTCTGGTATGGCCCAATCAATGCATGCAGGGGAGAGTTTTGTTTTTTTCTTTTGAGTCAGGGTCTTGCTCTACCACCCAGGCTGGTGTGCAGTTGCCCGATCACAGCTCACTGTATCCTCAAACTCCTGGGCTCAGGAGATCCTTCTGCCTCAGCCTCCGAAGTACCTAGGACTATAGATGTGCACCACCATGCCCAGCTTAGTTTTTGACTTTTTTGGTAGAGACAGGATCTTGCTATGTTGGCCAGGCTTGTCTCAATCTCCTGGGCTCAAGAGATCATCTCACCTCGACCTCCCAAAGTTCTGGGATTACTGGCATAAGCCACTGTGCCCGGCCAAGGAGAGAATATTTTTACAAGAATGTTTATTTACTTATTTAAAAAACATCTAGTAAGGGACTGATATATACAATCCTGTGATAGAGGATTAAAAGGAACCTACAGTTCCTTGGGGAGACAAAACATATACATCATTCAGTAGCATGAGGTGGCAGGTAAAATATGCCATGTGAGCAGCACCATGGGTGGTAGAGGGACATAGAAGCTGCAGTTCAGAATTTCACATTTTGGTAAAGGAAATGAAACATGAATATTTATGCCTGACGATACACTGACAACAAATACAAGGAAGAAAGGCATTCTCATCCCTTGCTCAGGGCCTGGCACAGCCTAAGGTTTCAGAAAATATGAGCTGAAAACATGAATGAATGCTATTAGAACGATGGATTGAGAATAGTGATGGTCACAGAGCAGTTGATCTGCCTGCCAGCAGGCACTGGACTATACTTTTCTCCATCCTTTGGAAGTCAGAGCCAGGAGACACACATCCTCTGGAGAGATTTCATCTGACCTGGCCTTGTGGGACAGGGTAGGGCTTGGACACATGCTCATTGTCATCAGGGCCTACTCTGTTGAACTCTGAGTTAGTCCACTGGGTCTTTAAGACTGCTGTATTTTAGGTGCAACTTACCAATATATCATGAGAACCATAATAGCCAGGCAGACAGGTCACTCAAGCCTGACCACATCTTCTCTCCTGGATTCCCAGTTTCCCGGGAAGCGAAATGTACAGAATTGGCACTAGAATAGGCACAACTGAATGTGTCATAGAACTGCTTCCCTCACCCTCCCCATACCTCATCTCTTCCCCAAACCAGACACCCCCTTCAGTGTGGCCGAATTTCCCTCTTTCTAATTTCCAAGATGACCAATACAACCCTTGCTGATTGATACAATCTTTCTTTAACAATGTCAATTAGACTTTTGTCCAGTACTCCTGGCTAGGAAATCATCCAAGTTTTGTTCAATGATTTTTATGAATTGCTTTTGTCCACTCTGATCAGTTTTTCTGACTGTTTAGGTTATCTCTGGGGTTCTAAGTCAGTCTCTCTGATCTCATTTTCATATGGGACCTGCTGTTTGCTGTTCGCACAGAGACCAAATAACCCACTAATTCCTCACCTACTCTAGACTAAGGGGCATTGTTATAGTTCTGTGGTCCCACGGTTGAGTTGGCAGTTCTGGACATGCCAATTAGGGTCACATTTCCCAACTGTTTCAAAATACAAGTTCCAGAAGTTCCCACAACATGGAAAATAATCACTTTCTTCCTTTACCTTGAACAGACCAGACAATGTAGCCTCTTGTCATCTCATCCAAAGAGGCCTACCATGCAACACTTTATAATTTGTGGGTCAATCTTTCAATATTTCTTTTTAGAAAGGGATAGGAAAAACATCAAAAATCTTCAAAGTAGCAGTGACCCACTAAGAGACTAACAGAACGTCACATGTTAAGCTTTTGTACCAATTCTTAAATTTTGTACCATGTAAATTCTTATAAAATTATCCCTTCATGGCCTAATTTTGCTCCATTTCAGTTTATTAGGTCAGAAGAAGTGAAATTTTTAAAAAGTCCTTGGCCATTCGCTGAAGGTATACCTTAGGAATGAAAGATGTGATGTTTGTGTTGTGTATACCCTGCCCTCTGATAAGTGGACCACTTCTTTGGTTAAACTCTTATCAACAGCAAGTGGGTGGTTTCCGTTCTTCATCCGTCTTTGCTAGCCCTCAGAGTAGAAAGTCTTAGAATTTTTTCCTAAAGAGTGTTTTCGCTCTTACCTTTTTTGGGTTTTGGATATAAGAAAGAGATGTGAAAACTCTGTCATTTGTAGTGCCGACACTCAACATAGCTGAGGTCCTCACATACATGGCTGGCAGCATTTAAATTAGTATAGTTCTTTGGAAAGTCTATGCCAATATGTGGCAGGAACCATACAAAAAGGAATTACTCCTGAACTTTGCTCTCAGTCACCCAGCCTAGAAAATTAAAACAGCATAAACAATAATAACAAAGATGATGATGACGATGATGACGATGATGATGATGGGGATGGTGAGGGGGATGGGGATGGTGATGACAACAACTACCTCCAAATCATAAAACCCCATGATCAATTCTTGTTCCTTATCCTTGCTCTCTCTGATTCTGGCCACTATTGGCTCCCATATGG